ATATATATAATAATTATTATATATTAGAAATGCTTTATAATGACATTTCTCCTGAGAAGTAGTTTATGCTGATGATATGCACAGAAGATAATTACAGCATACAGTAGCTGTTCCGATAAGTAATTTATTACTGAGGTCAGCAGAACTTGTAACTGCCAAACTTGGTAGAAGCAATAGTTCAAGATTTAATGGAGAAGTGACCTGCAAATAAATGATGAGTGGCTAATGTTTTGCGGATTTTATAATGCAGAAACGTCCAGTAGCTGTGAATCTGAGAGATATGAGAGGAAAACAAGTTTGGAAATAATCACTAAGCACATTGAACACCCACATTTGTCTGCCTTGTTGAGGCATTCTTCAGCTTAAACAGGCAGATTTTACTTCATTCTGGGTGTCTTTGTTATTAAAAAGTTTTTCATTATCCTCAGCTTGCGATGACAAAGCCATTCAGAATAGTATGATTTTTGGCTGTAACAACAAATGCCTATTTCAGGAGTCCTTGTTTTGCTTTTCAGTTTTCCTATTTCTTGGCTCAACATCAATACTTTGTCTGCCCTGTGGAATATAACAGTGAAACCAACAGATTTGTGACAGAGTGTGAACCTTCAGAGCTCTTTCAGATGAAGAAGTACTCTGTGTCACCATTGCTTCAGGCAGTGTTGGGATGGGTAAGGAAAAAAACCCAAGACTTTGGTTAAAGTTGAAGTAGTACTTCCCAGCTTGAATGGTTTTCTAAACCTTTTTGGAAGGGTACACGAATGCTGGTAAGGCTTGAACAGTAAGAATTGAATCGATACCAAGAGGTTCTCCATTGCTCAGACAGGGGAGGTGGTCACCCAAGCGGAATTGAAATGCGTTGCTGCAGTCACCCGAGAAAACCTTCCTGTGTTCTTGTGGCCTGTATTCTCTCTGTGCTGGAAATAGATGTCACTTAAGCATTTTGCAGACAAGCCTATTTTTGAAGAGCAACCCTTAATTTTTTGTGGAAAGCAGACAAAGACTTGTTATCCCCGGAATAGTAGCAAGCTTAAGTAATCTTGTAGAACTTCATTCCATTTTCAGCTAGTGTGTAACTGCTGTTACAATTCGACTTGTCCTTTCTTCACCACATAGCATCTTGAGCGTTAGTGCCATTACTTCTGTGCTGAGTGAAAAAGGAGTACCAGTAATAGTTCCATGTAATGTAGTCACTACTGTTTTCCTTACACTCAGCCTGTAAATTTTTTTTAAGTGAGCTGTTATACCTTTACCCGTCAGGAAATAGGTCATCAATTATCCTACTGTACAAAGCCATGCTTCTGAAGTCACAGGCTCTAGATGCGCTCCCAACAGGAAGAGAACACCAAACAGAAAAAAAGCAGTCTGTCATAAGGGCAAAGAGGAGGTGACTGGGATACATGCAGAACAAGTGGGTTCTGCAGCGCTCCCCCCACCTGCGCAGTGGCTCAGCACACAGAGTGAGTGCACAGCACTAGCGAATGCAGTGGGCTTTAGCTGTGGTTACGTGGGTGTAACACTGAAGGAGAAAAGTTCATGTGGTCACAAGAAAAAAGCACAAACTGGAAGCTGTAGCAACCAAACCTAAGACTAAAAGTAATTAATGGCTACAGTTGGTACTTTGAAAAGCAAGATCACATGTTAAAGGAGCTCTGACATTTTCGTACCAAATGACCATACTGTTGCTTCAGGGTTTATGGTGTTGATTGCAAATTTAATAAAGATTTTTCTGCACAGAAATATAATGTGGACTGAGCAGAGAGAAATCTTACTGTGTCCAGCTATACTGTGTATTTTGGTAAAGGGCAAGGAGATGGGAACGCCCAGCTCCGTGCCAGTCTAAGAGAGAGCTATCAGTTAACCCTGAAAAGAGATGGTAGTTCCACGTGCACTTCTCGAGTACTTTTACCAGGCTCTAACAAGCCTTTTGAGGAAAGGATTAGTTTTAGCACTCTTTCTATAAAGTCAGATTGAATCTACTTGTTTGGGCAACAGCCTGTTTTTGGTTTTCCCTCTGTTACTCAATTCCTGATGTTCTATCTCAGAAATATGACCAGATATTATGTTTGGAACGCATTTTGCTCGGTGCCAAAAGATGTCGAGCCTTGAGTTCTCCCAGCAAAATTGACTTAATAATTCAAACTCATAAACTTTGCTGTTTGACCAACCGAATAGTTTAGCCCAAAAGAAAGGTGTCTTAAGATAACTACAGAAAGTAGTGAAGAGGTTAATTGGTATTGGCCAGCTGTGATGCAACTCAGAAACACAAGGTACAGCATTTTTCAGCTACAGATGATGTTTATCAAGACTTGCCAGGTGAGGTGTGCCCTGCTCTCAGGGGTGAGGCCACCATAGTGTTCCCTCAAAGGCTGGAGCCTGTACCATTTACTTGAAAGTGCTCAAAGCTAAGTTACAAAAAATCACCAAACCAAACCAAAAAACCAACCAAACACCCCCCCCCCCCCAAAAAAAAAAAAAAAAACCAACCAACCAAGAAGTTGCAGAAAACCCAAACAAACCAAAACACCCAAATAAAAAAAAATCAACAAACCCAAAACACCCCAGCCAGCCAAAAAAAACCCCTTTTTTCTAATCTATGTCAGGAAGGAAAACAGGTACCTGTTGCCAATGAAGTCTCTGGTGTCTGTAAGAACCTGTATGGATCAAAACAAATTTCAAGTCTGTGAATAGGCTGAGGGGAACCATATCTGCTTACATGCAAACAAAAAAATATTAGTGGGGGTAAACCTTCTATCTTGCATTATTGCCATATGTACACAAAGGTGACAGTATGGCAGACTAGTGCAAAATTCATATCTGTCTTGTGAGAGCACTTGAAAGAAGTGACAATGAATTGTGTGAAGGTGACAAGTTTGTAGAGAGCATTTGGTCACTTACAAGAGCAATACTAGGAATTTGTGGAAAGCTCCTTTATTTACAGGAAATGGAGCTGGAAAAGCAGAGCCAGAAAAGACTGGAGTCCCATCATACAGTATCGAATTAGTAGTTATATTTCTTATGATAACTAAGGGATTTGCTGAAAACCACATCATTTGTTAAAGTTAACTGCTCTAGCAACCCCAAATACTTCATCATGTTCACAACCAGACCTTTCAGCAGCTTTCTACAGCGTGTCTACTTTTCCTTTTTCTACAGTATTAATTTGTGTTGGGAAAACTGGAGCTTTGTGGAAATTTGCTCTAGAACAGCCCCATTTTAAAATATTTAAGCTTAAAATGCCTACAATCAAACATATTGAAAAACGATGCTAATTGTTTTTCTTGTAGGAAACGGTGAATATGTACCCATTCCAGATGCACAGCATTGCGTTGTCAACGTTTGCATCATTAATTGGGCCATTTGGAGGATTCTTCGCCAGTGGATTTAAAAGAGCTTTCAAAATCAAGGTGTGTAATGACTCCTGTAAGGCAGTTTTGTTTTGGTTTTCTCTTTGACTTGGACAAATTAGTGGGTTGGGTTTGGTTTTGTTGGTTTTTGTTTCCATTGTTCATTGTAGTACGTAGTGTTTCTACTAAGGTGTGATGATGTTTGAGCTGTTTTTTAGCATTGGGAGCAGTACTTAGTTTTATCAGATATATGTATGTGTTATTCTTAAAACTTTGCGTAATCAACACATGACTTTAGTGTTGGAAATCTAAGAATAATTTGGTTTCATACTTCGGTTGATTATTACTCTTCCAAGTCATGTTGCAGAAGTGGTTTAGACAAGCAAGATGTGAAATATTATACTTTACATGAAAGGCATGGTGCCTAAGAAGCACCGACAGTGGTTTACCCTTCAGATTGTGACTGGCTGTGTTTTACCGATAGTGTGTGTGTGTGTGCGTCGTATGTAGATGCTGATGTGTCAGGTTCACCAAAGCATGTGGTGTTTGGCTGCCGTTGCCAATACAGTGCCGCCTTGTAGCAAGAGTGTGTGCTGGCAAGTGATGTGACGTGCTAACCTCTGTTTATTGCAAGGTGTGCGCTGTTGCTTGTGGCAGTGTTGTCCCGGGCTGGTATTAAGTGGCAGCAGGAGTATGGGAAGAGGGCAGCCCCAAATTTTCTCCTGACCTCCTTTATGTCTTGGTAGGACTGCTGTAATTCTTACCCCATTGCTTGTTGTTGTTCTTGTTGTTGTTCCCTATGTCCACCAGTTTTGGCATGTGCTTTGCACAGAAGCATATAAACCTCTCTGTTTGTGCTGAACTCCCATATGTGTGCTTGTACTTACCCCTCTTTCTTATGCCGGTCCAAGCAGCTTGTCCAGCACTTTGCTAGCTACAGCCTCGTGCACTGTCATACCTGTATGTCCAGGTAGCAAAAGACTGTTTGTGTAAAGCAGGGCTTTTAGGGAAAAAAATGTTTCTGAAAAGCAGCACTTACTCTTAAAGTAGAACATTAAAAAGTAGATTTTTTTTTTTTTAATACTTCTAGGCCCCAAGGTGGTGACCAAAGGACTGCCAGGAAGACAGGGGTATTGTGGAATTGTTACTGAAGGCAGCATGTAGGTTAGGTTAGACACTTCATACCTGCCCAGCACTGGAGGGCTGGAGTGGCACAGGACTGGTTTAACTTACTGGCAGTCACTCCACGTGACTAAGGTCAAGGTTTTCACCCAGTGAGTACACAAGTGAGTGTGGAAGACAGAAAGAATATATGAGAGTAGTTTGACTGGTCAAGCTGTTCTACAGACAATATTGGGTAACACAAAGGTAGTGTACTGAGCTTTGTTTGCACCAGAAACACTGTTTAGGTAGTGATAATATTTTTGCTACTGAGTTTTTTGATTCTCTTAAATATATGTATACTGCATGCAGATGTTATGGTTTTTAACTGTGGTTACCAAGAATCCAGTGGAAAAAAATGGCAGATGAGTGGGCAGTATGGCTTGCAAGCAAAGCCAGTTTTAGACAGTGGGAAGAATCACAGAATCACAGAATGTCAGGGGTTGGAAGGGACCTTGAAAGATCATCCAGTCCAACCCCCCCTGCCAGAGCAGGACCAGCTAAAGTAGACCACATAGGAATGCATCCAGGCAGGTTTTGAATGTCTCCAGAGTCCTCAGGTTACTGCTTCTCTCGTAGCAAATATGTATTTCCTGGTAACAAGTGCTTCAACAGTAGCTACCACTAGATGATGAAACAATAAAAGTATTAAAGAGAAGAATAAGATTCTGCAGAGGCAAGAAACAACAGCAGTTAGCTTGAGAGGCTTGCTACAAAATGAAGTATGTGTAGGCACACAAGTGTACTCAGTACTGGCAAACCTGCACCTGACCTACCGCTGTCCTCTTGTGTGATACTGTGGACAAGTTGCTTCATCTCTTTTTTTTTCTCACCCCTTAACTCACCTTTGCAGTTAAAAACTCCTTTAGCAAAGGAGGCTCTTGCTAACTTCTGGCTCAGTGCAGTGAAACCGTGGCTTAATGGCAGCCTTTCTGTGCTGCTGTCCAGTGATGCATTGTCAGTGTGTTTCACTGGAATCGCTGACCATGTTTTGTTTTGTTTTTTCCCTTCCCTGTTCTTCACACCCAAAAGGATTTTGCGGACACAATCCCTGGGCATGGTGGGATAATGGATCGCTTTGATTGTCAGTACTTGATGGCCACTTTTGTTCATGTCTATATCACCAGCTTCATAAGGTATGGGCTTTTTACAGTATCAGCTACTTAAGCTTGCATAGGAGCTGTACCGTAGTTATTTCATGAGCGTTACATTCTGCACTGTTAGCACAGCAGGGATTGCATGTTTCTAAATGCAGTTTATGCAATGATTTCAAATATGGAACTATTAAGAAAACATGTTGCTGCCTAGGGTTTGTGTCAGGTTCAAGCTATGCCTTAATGTTTCTGTGACTGCTGTTAATGGTAACCTGTGTACCCTAAATACCAGAAAGTTTTGTGTAGCAGCCTCTTAAAAGTTTTACTAGAATTTACTGATCTCGGGGAGGTATGAGGATGGGGGTTTGGGCAGGAAGGTTGCTGCAGCACCTGCTTTCCATGTGTGGTTCCTGAAAAGCGTGTAGGCTGTGAGACTGCAGATCTTGCTGTAAGTTTCAGTATTTCGCAGTCGCTTGGCTTGGGATTTTCTGTTTAAGATGAAAACACTGTGGTTAAAGAGAGGAGACAACTTCTTAAAAACACTGGTCATCTTCTCTGAACCTTACCATCTTTTGAGAAGACCATTCTCTTACAGTCAGTCATTTTAGTTCCTGGGGTGGGGGGCATCAAAGGGCTGTAGGTGTCCAGATTGATACATGCCCTTAGTTTTGTAAATAATTATGATATACCTAATCAGCAACAGATTCTTTGCCTCATATTCAGTCCATCTTAGAAGTAGACTGTAAACAAGTGACTAGCTAAAAATGAGGCTGTTATTTAGAAAAGCTTGGGTTAATTTGTGGTTTTCTTTACCAACTTGACCAACTTTCCATTTAATTCAATAGTACACAACTTATCTGGCCACAGATACTAAACTAAAAAAAGGTTTGTTGATGAAAAATGTTGATTACAGTGACTAAGGATGAATCAATGAGCCTTATTTGTCATAAGCCTTCTTAATATCCCCGTTTGATGGCAAATACAAGAAAAGCTTTTTAGTTTCTGTTCAGATTGAGCTCAGGAGCATGCTTTGCCAGTAATGCTCACCCATGCATCCTGAGGAGACAGACTAGGAGAAATCCAGAACTTGGTGTCCCCAAAAAAGGGAAAGCATTGATTGTGCAGCAAGAGGAAAATGGAAAGCTGTCCAAAAGTTTCTTTAGAGCTGCTGGTCAGAAAAAAAAATTTATTTTTTCATTGACAGGGGTCCAAATCCCAGCAAATTACTAAAACAGCTGCTGATACTTCAGCCTGAGCAACAACTGAGCATATATAAAACCCTGAAATCTCATCTTGTCGAAAAGGGGATCCTGCAACCATCTATGAGAAGGTAGTTCATCAAAATGGAGGACAGAAGAAACCTCCATTTACAAGAAGCCTGTGAAAAGCATTGCAAATGTGCACATAGATAATAGCTAAAGGAAGAGTAGTTTGTGGTCTGGAAGAGGTGAATGTTTCCCAAAATGAATGTGAATGCTATGACTTCCTATTAGGGCACAGAAGATCTCTTACTCCTAAAAATAATTAAAATGCTTGCAAAGTAACTGTATACACATGCTATATATTTCTTGAAATGGATGGCAGCAGTCTTCCTTCAGCACCCAGCCTGACAGGCTTTGTATTTAAAAAAAAAAAAAAAGAGTAAAATTCACTTAGTTTTTAATGAGTTATTTAATACTGTATATCTTAGTAATAACTTTTTGGTCTCCAGTGATTACTGAAGCATAAGCAGATGAGGCAGGCAGTCACTTTTATGTAGCCCAGTGCCGAAATTACAAATGGCCAGAAAATACTTGTTAGCCCAGCCTGCTGTATCAGACTACCTGTATTTACTAAATAGCTTCGAAGGTTAAACTTAGTTCTATTTTTAAACAGTTTTCTTATGAAACTATTTCATGCTTTCAAGAGAAAAGTACCTTTACTGAGGTTTAGCTGGGCTGTTTGGGCTGTGGAGCTGCTATTTTTTTGTTAATGTGACAGATTATAAACAAGCATCCACATCCAAGAGCAGAGATTACCTGGGAAAATGGGATTCTCCAACCCAGTAATCAGTTTGGGGAGAATCTGGAGTTTAAGCCCCTGGTTTTCACGGCCTGGTCAGTGTCTGAAGACAGTAATTCAAGCCTTATTCCTTGTGCCTCTTAACTACCACACAGAATGGGGGTATTCCCTTCTTTTTAAAAAGCACTTTGAGGTCCTAAGTAAAAAGTGAAGTTTAAGTGCTGTTTTATTAACGTGTTACTCAGCAAAGGCAGAAACTTTTATCTCATGAATGTGAGATAAAAGAGTGCAAGACAGGATGCATGGTTCTTCTGCTGTGCGTTATTTATTAAGAAGATCCTCAAGCAAGCTTGGGGAACCACAGAGGTGTTTGAATGGAGAATTTTTATAGAAAGCAGCTATTCTGTAGACTTAGTGGGGCATATGAGGAAAGCTGATGTTCTGTAATTCTAAATCCTAGCTGTTTTCTACTTTTTTTTCACCATGTGACATATCATGATGCAAATAAAAATCTAAAGTTTTTTTTTTGAAATGACGAAGATGACTCCTGTACAAACAGAAAGCACAAATGCAAATTTTGTTTCATTTTACTGTAACTTGATAAAATTTAATTTTTTCAACTAGTTGTAAATAAGTTTCTCTTGTAGTGAACGTACCAATGCCACATATGCGTGTGTGTGTGCGTATATGTAATATTAAAAGATGTTTATGTATATATATATATATAAGATTAAAATTTTAAATAGTTGGTGCTACTTGAGGATAAAACCAAGGAGAAAATCACTAGGGTGTACGAGGAGAAAATCACTAGGGTGGGTGATAAGCTGTATCTGTAAAATTCAGACTGCTTTTTGTTGAACACCATGCAGCTGAAAACACCGTGCATGTTGTTTTGCACTTAGGCCATGGTAGCATGTCTACAGCTTGCGTATGGAAAAGCGTCCCTGTACATGGCTGTGAAACGAAATCCAGGTCTGAAGTAATTCCTGTTGATGTCAGGTGTTTGACAGAAGTAAATGACGTCTGACCTGGAGATTGCAGTACTGTATTGAAGGAACACTCCAAGAGGCGAAAAATGTTGCCAGCTGCTTGTCAGTCAGTGGCTATGTGTCTTGGCTTATTAATTGGAGGGACTGAGTTTCAGCCCTTCCACCAGAAGGGCAGCATAGCCTGAGGTTAAAAGGTAGCACAGCCAGGGAGCTGGGCATGTGGAAAGGTGCTTTGAAAAGAAGGGAGCGGAAAATGTGAGGGCAACCAAAGTAGCATACCTGGAAAACTAACTTTTAGATGAGGCTTTGGTTTTGTACAGGACTCCAGTAGGTGCTTATGAAAAAACACAGCCATACTGGAGTTGGTATATCTTTATCCTGGGTATTAAAAAAAAAATTTAAAAATTTAAAAATCATATATAGTCTCTCTATATATAAAAATATAATTGTTATTTCAGAAACTTGAACTTTTTAGAGTAATTTTATAGCATGTATAATAAGGAAGTTAAAATATATTTTAGGATTTAATACAACAGAGCATTTGAAATTAATTGCTATCTATTTGCACAACAGAAAGTTCAACACTGCAATTCTGCTGTTCAATGTTAAAATGAAGAAGGGATCACTTGTGAACTCACAATTCTCTGGGTAGAGAAATAGCTCCCTGCTGGCTTAGGCTTGGTGTAAATAAAGCTCAGCAGGACCTGTCACTGTGAAGTGACAACTATGCTTGCTTACTATGAAGTGCATTTACCCCACTTGTTACTTCCGTTAGTTTAAGCATCGCAATGTGATCAACAGAAAAGTTTAACTTTTCACACTACTGATTCTTTTCACTTGCACTTTTGTTCCCGGTTGCTATAATTACCCATTGGGCAAAAAAAAATGTATATTATGTAAATATTGTAAATGGTATAAGCATATAATATCTGTTTTAGTTTGACTGTTTCAATCTTTCATTGAAGCAGGTGTTGTAAAAAAACCTAAAATAAAACTGGGACAGAAATCCTCCTATCTTGTATTTTCTATAGCATGCATGGTGGGTGGAGATTTCTTAACGAGAATTTGTATTCCTTTATATTATTCCTTAAAGTCATGTTCTTAATAGCAAAGCCTGCTATTAATTTCCTACCTTTTGCCCCTCAAAGACTTCAGGCCCTCCTTGACTGTTGCTGTTCCCGGCCACCACTGGTCCCTCTTGCTTCCGCTCCAGGTATCTGCAAAGAACTGGCAGAGACGGGAGGGTGCAGCTACGCCAAGACTAAAGCTCCTGCTCAGGGAGGACTCAGTGACTCCTCTTCCCACCCTGCCACATTCTGCCTTTGGAAATACGAGTAATCTTTCAGTTTCTTGGTGCCAGGGGTTGTGAAATTCTTGTTTTGGAACCCCACTTTCTGTTTGTTATTGCTGGTGCTGTTGGCACAGGCCCGTCAATATTTACCCTGAGTGAGGTGGTTGGGGCAGCAGCTGGCAGATGCCTCTCCCCTGCTTTCCTGTTCCTTCCCTTTTAAGTCTTGGATCCGAGGCCCTTCACCTCCTGCAGCCTCAAACAAGCCAGGTAATGAATGGATCTCATTTCTAAATTACACAGATAACTGTAACATCTGTTAAACATGCCCCATCAGCAAATCATGTCTATGCTGTGCACCTCCTCAGGCTTTACAAAACTACTGGAGAAGCACAGAAGAAGCTTTCCCATGGCCTGCATCCACTTCTTCTGATGCTTTTCTGAGGAAAGGAAGCGGAAAGCTAGTGGTGAGTTTTCTTCTACTAGACAGGTAATGTTTTGGACTCTTACTTGCACAGAAACAGGAAATTTTTACTTTCAACAGGCAAAACCCTTTCAAGGCATGCTCGCTGAGGCAGTTGGAAGGAGCTCCTTTCAGGGATACTGATAGCAGTGGACTGGCCTGAGAGCCAAAGTAATCCCTGTTTGTGCAGTTGCAGCAGAGGAATTAGTGACTTTTTTTTTTTTTAATGTTGACTTCAGTTGTCCTACATAACATTTAAGCCACACTAGGCACAGTCCCTTTGGCCAGCTTGTACTAACCTGCACATAGCTAACTTACAATTGCTCTTTCTCATGCAAAAAGTTTCCCAATTATAAAATGGGTATTCAATACCATGGTTTGGCAATTTCAAATTGCATAAACTTAGACGTAAGTCTAGTATCTGACAGGATTCCAGAAACAGGTGGTAACATAAGTGTTACCCATAAACATAGAATCATAAAACCATTTAGGTTGGAAAAGACCCTTGATATCATCAAGTTCAACTGTTAACCTAATGCTGCCAAGTCCACCACTAACCACTGAATACTACAGACACTATGATTTGTTCATTGTGTACATGTTGCACCCTGACTTCCCAATACTGATGCTTGTTCTGAGAATTACAGACACGTTTTGATCTCTAAAGTAACAGGTGAGAAAGACTGATATTATTAGGATTTTGTTAGCACAGGCATATCCTTTGCAAGTAAGTATGAAAAGGCAACATATTCTCATAGGGAAGTCAAGGTATAAAGCTTCAGCCCCATTTGTCACCAGTTCACTTGCAATGGCCTAAGTTGAGGTGCTTCCTCAAGTGATTGCTGCTCCCATGCAAAGTGACCAGACCAGCTGCCCCCAGTTCAGCCGGGACTCCAGTTTTGAACGAGTCCCACGTGCAGCTTTCAGAGCAAGAGGATAAGTTTCCGCTTCTGCTGTTAGGACCCTGCGCTTTGATCACAGGAAATTAAATACTTGTGCTATCTGGCAGGAATCGCACACACCTCTTAAAGAAAACATAGTGAGAGCTCTAATTGCCCAATAGTGGCTTGTATTAACTACCTAACTGTGGCTATTCATGGGGTTTGTATGTACCTGAGGGGCGTGGGTAGCTCTGTGTACTTTGACCTTGTTTCTTGTGTAACAAACCATCATACCCACCAAATGTAGGCTATACCAAGATGGTGAGAAGCAAGTTCTGCCAGACTCCATGCTGTGCCATGTCCAGCTACACCAAAACAAGTTTCTGACTTAGGTGGAAGCTCTGCAAAACTACAGGCCAGGTCCTTTCTTCCTGCAGCAACTAATTTGCAGGCAAGCCTCTGGACAGTTAACGCATATTTATTTTGAAGAAGAAAATCAATGTGAAAACCAACATGGCTGAATTTAATCTGATTGTGCCTAGTTTGGTACAGCCTTTTCTTTGTACAGGTAACCAGTGGGCAGACTCCATCCCCTTGTGCCTTCTGCCCCTCGCTACAAGGCAAAGCGCTGTGGTGGGGAGGAGAGGCTGAGCCCTGGGACATAGGGAGGTTCCTGGGCGGTGCAGAGAACATGTGAGAGGGGATGGC